GCTCGGGCGGCTGCAGGGCCTGGTCAGTGAGGTTAAGACGTGCGCACGAGGGTCTGCGATCTTGGGTTTGAGGCCATCGCCCGAGGGATCCTACCTCCACCGAATTGAGGCCATCTTCGGTATTACGGATTGAGGCTATCTCCGTCATAGGCAATAAATGTTAAGTGGTTTGACTTTGGTGAAAGTCTAAATTGGTTTGACCGGTGGTCAAAGAGTTCATGAGAAACCCGTAACACCTAAATCGTTTTGAAAAGAAAGAAAATAAGTTGACTGTTGGTCAACCGTCTAAAGAACCGAATGTAAAGTTGAATTGATTTTTATTAAAATGATAAACATATGCACGATCTTAATTGTTGAATTATTATGTTTATTCTTGTGCCACAATGGAGTACCACTCAGCGTCAATGCTGAGCGGATAGCGTTGTTTCCTTTTTGCTGTCCGTAGGTGATCAGACAGATGAACCTAGAGCCAATCCCAGAGGGTATTGAGGAGGAGATGTACGATGGCGTGGCTGTCTCTTTAATCTGTTGATTATGCTTTATTTAATTAACTTTAATGCTTATTACATTTTCGGGCAAGATCCCAAGTTGTTTGACTTTAAAAAGGCTTCCGCATTATTTTAAATTACTCCGATGGATTTTTATATGTATTGATAGAACGTTTGTTTAAAATTGTTTTGAAAATGTCGCAAATTCGGATACCAATTCAGTGGCACACCGGTCCGCTGTCTCACGGGTTTGGGTCATGCGGGTTGGGGTGATACATTTTGGTATCGGAGCATTTGGTTTTAAAATCGGTCTTTGGACCCTTTCAAAAAAAAATACAATGAATAATTCAGCCGCATCTGCATCTCACGTAACTCCTCTGCCCCGGGAAGGTAATAAGTATTTATAGCTTTATCTGTTATATGTTAAGATCTGACTTGGGAATTTCCTTATTATTTTAGAATGAGTCAAGAATCGACCCACGGTCAGTACGTTCCAGAGCCGGAGCACGTGAGCGTGCACACGGTGAACACCGAGGGTTCGAGTTTCACGCCTCCGGGTGACGGAGGGCAACCGCAGAATCAACCTACGCCAGCGGGACAGCCACCAGCTGTACCACCGCCAGTCGTACCACCTCCAGTGTTGCCCCCGTTGGCGATACCGTCGGTGGCCTACGAGCAGATGTTCCCGGCCATGATGGCCCATTATATGCAGCACATGGCGCAGTTTATGCCCATGTTCCAGCCATCGCCACCACCACAGCCGCAGCCGCGCATCGTTACCTTCAAGATGTTGAAGGATAATGGAGCGGAAGAGTTCCGAGGAGACAATATGGGGGAGCCCCAGATTGCATTGGATTGGCTTGAGCAGATGGACCGGGTACTCAAGAATTTGAGAGTCCCAGATGCTGATCGCTCGGAGTTGGCGTCACAGATGTTCCGGAAGGGAGCATATGATTGGTGGAAGCGCATTGACCAGGATCCACACACGCCCAAGCCGTGGACCTGGGATCGCTT